AAAAAACGAAAAAAAACTCAGATGACCTAGCTCAAGTTCGAGAGTCTACACAAGCTCGTCTAGTTCACTCCCCTGTAAAAAACCTTGTTGAAAAAAGAGCTCATAGACTACACGATCAATCATTCAAAAGTCCAAAAGAGAAAAAAATAATATCAAAAAAATGAATAGTTGGTGAAAATGCATTGAGCAGCCAAACAAAACCCCAATTTAACTTATTACACAATTATGATCATTTAAATAATCCAAACACAAAAACTAATTGGCTCCTTTCATCCATTATTAATTTAATTTAAATTAAAAAAAGAAAAAAAAAAAAAAAAGAGTTCACGTGACCTTAATAATGAAATTTTCTTTAGTATGTGTTTTTGAGGTGAAGTAGAACCACGTGGATAGATTCCATTGGTGGAAGTTCCCAAGGTCACCTCCTAGAACTATGGGATTTCTTTCTTTTTTATTTATTTTGGCTTTATAACCCTTGTTTGTGGGCTTTTAAGTCAAAGGTCATTATTTATACTATCCTTATGTAATTATTTGTACCATTATGTCAATTAAACAAAATTAATTAAATTAATCAGTTGTTTATAAATAATAAAATAGATAACTAAATAAGAGATAGAAAAATACTGTACTAGGTATCAAGGGTATGGCCTCCTTGTAAAAGTGGTCTCTGCCATGGAAATATATTTTCATCTGTGTCACGTGGTTTGGTCTTAAAATCTGGAATTTCTTAGCTGCTAGTTTTGCCTATTTTTTTTTATTTCCTTAGTCGTTTTAGGATTAAAGTTTGAATTAAAAAAAAATATATATATTTGTTTGTATTTTGTAAAAAGACAGTTTGTATTATTAAAAAAATAATATTTATTTATATTACGAGAAATTAAATTTTATGATGTTTCAGAATGTTTATAAAAGTGTATTTGGTGGAAGAATTTTAAAATTAATATTTTTTAATAAAGATATTTTTTATTGTAACAATCAAATTGTCTAAAACAAATAGTCTATTTATAAATATCCATCATAAAGAATTTGAGTCTCAATTAAGAAAGTTAAAAAGTCATGATTATGTTTTTGGATAATGAAGGAATTCGCAATCAACCACACAGTTGCAATGAATAAACCTACACTCTCGTATAATAATTTAAAAATCATACAAGAAACGTAAACCACACTAGACTAAACATGTGTCACAAGCTCGACATATCGAATGTGACAAAAAAATTCGAACTTGAGTCAATTAACACGAATTCACTTGGTCCAACCGCTAAGCCATCTTTTGCAGGAAAACGTAATTTTATTTTGAAAAAAATGAGAAATAGGGCCAAACATATACACTAGACTTATCTTTTGAACAATGAATAATCAACTGACTTACAAGTCATAGTTAAGACAAATATATTTATTTTTATGTTAAAAAAAGGAAAGCAAGGAAATACGAACTACATGCCTAAATCATTAACCTTAACAAGTTAATTTGCATTAATAGATACATTTCACAAAAGGATAAAAAGAAAATCATCAACATAACATAAGCTCAAAAAGGGCCTAAGATATTTTTTTTTAATATACAACAATAAATTAATTGGACCTATTTGAAAACCAAAAAAAGAAAAAAAAAAAAAGAAATATTCACAAGACAAAAGTTCATAAGACTATTTTAATTGGTCAAGAAAATAGTGTGAAAACAAATAATTGAGTTTGAATTCAAATCTCTCTACCAATGCTTTACAAAATTTGCATCAAGATTTTATTTAAAATTTAGGGGTTTGCTATTCGTAGTGGGACTTTTACTAAGTCGTAGCGGGATTTCAGTCATTCTTTCTATTTTCACAAAAAAAATCAAAATTTTATCCACTTCGATTTCTGAAATTTTAAGACTTTGATTTTTTTCCGAAAATTTATGTATTCCGTGTTGTTGAACACGAAAAATTTCGTGTTCAACAACACCGGAATGTTTTTTACAAAAAATGAGAGATTCGTTATGTAGAGCACTAAACCTATGCACAAGTTTCGTGTTATTGAGCACTAAACCCTATTTTTTTTTTAGTTTCGTGCTTTACAGACAATTTTTAAATTAGAATTCATGATGGTTTCGTGCTTAGGAGTTCGAAATTCGAAGGGGGTTTCGTGCTCTACTAGAGCACGATTTCGAACTCTGATCCTAACCCTTAAAACCCAAGACGAGACCTACATTGTTAACTAAAACGTAAATAAATAGATTGAAACGAATTAAGTTAGCAAAAAATATCGGAAATTGGAAGTTGTAAGTGTCGGATTAAATGCCTAGAGGTTGAATGATTTTCTAATGCTTGGGGTTTTGGAGAAAATTTTGAAGCTTAAGGATTCAAAATTATTGAAATTTCGCTGCTAAGAGTAAAAACTCCGCTGCAATTAGCATTTGAGTGAAAATTATTAACCGAGAAAGAAAAAAATAACAATAATATAGGCCACAAATGTTGGCCCAAAAACCAAAACAAAACCATCCACCTTAGTGATTGAAATTGAGGAAAACAATGCAATTACACATGCCCTTTCTCCTCTAATTAAACTTATTAATCCCCATTTATTTCAAATTTATATACATTAAATAGTACAATGCAGAAACCATAGATAACACAGAATCCCGAGGAAGAAAATGGAGTGCCTCATACTTTCCCTTATGTTTTCTTTTATCTTATAACAATAATAATAATAATAATAATAATAATAATAATAATAATAATAATAATAATAATAATAATAATAATAATAATAATAATAATAATAATAATAATAATAATAATAAGGGTAATTACAAACACCCCCTGATGTATGTTCAATTTACAAAAAAACCTCGCTTGTTTGGATAATTACATTTACTACCCTCAAACACCTCTACCCTTATGGTGTCAAATTCAACATAATCATCTAGATTTCGTGGAATGTGCTCTAGTTTGTACTCGCTTTGTGTAAAAATATAGTCTCTGATGCATCACAATCTGATATATACAAGCCAAAAAACAGATATTATGATCATCTTACTTCAAAATGTAGAGTTCGAATGTGATAAAACACGGGTATAAAAGTGATAATATTCCATATAATCTGGAAAATTCCACTAAATTTGAGAAGTTGAGGGGTGGTTGTAATTATCCAAACAAGATGAAGTTTTGTAATTTGACCGTACCTTATAATTTACCCTAATAATAATAATAATAATAATAATAATAATAATAATAATAATAAATGTTCTTACCTTTACCTTCTATGGCACTCTATTATAGAGTGGAAACTAGACTAGCCGGCTTAGAATTAGCATTTACTAAGAATATATTATTTTTTTTCGGGAGTAAAAAGTTAATGCAAAAATATAAAATTGGAAATCAAAAATTCTATTTTTTAAATTCATCCATAAATATATAATGCAATTGATATTATAAGTGTAATTTTCATAAGAAAATTGGGATATTTTGGAGAAATTAAAATCAGATCATAAATCACAATCTCATTACATATTCCAATTTTGATCCAAATGATTAGTAAAATTGAACAACTCAAAATTATTTGAATTCCGAATGCATTGTGCCGAATTCGAAAACTCCGTTCTAAAATTATTAAAAAAAAAACTATGCATCTTAATAAATTCCCTCGGCTTATAGTAATTCTATATTAAAATTAAAACTATTATTATTATTATTTTAAGAAAAAACAAAATAAGATTATTATTGTTTAATTATTCTTGTCTGTTACTGTTGTAGTAATTTTGATCTCTGGGGTTTGTTACTTTGGGTGCAAACCTGCTTGGGTAAAATTCAAAATCATCCCTGAGGTTTGCACTCAACTTCAAATTCATCCCTGAAGTTCTAATTGACTTCAATTTCGTCCTTCCAAGCCTCATTTCACCGGCAAATTTGGAAAGAAATAAATAAATACCAAGACTACCCTTTATTAAAAGGTGACCTTAAATTTGGTGGAAAAAAATAGTTTGAAAAACTAGTTGGAAAAAAGAAATGTTGGGGAAAATTTTAGTTTCTATAAATATGAACACAAACAAACCATAGAAAAAATCATGCATTCATCGAGAGGCATAAGTCATAACCATGAAATTTTATTGTGGGTGCCGAGATTAGATTAATAAAACTAAATATTTGTGGGGTTTCAGAGACGGAACCCCGATCTTTTTTTAAAATTTGTCATATTAAATACCAGAAAAGTAAATATTTATAAACTTTAATTAAAATATTATATATTAAACATATATTTAAAAAACAATTATTGAAACTCTTTTTATTTGGCTAATTATTATGCAATTTATGTGGGTTATGTAAGATGAACTAGTTGAATGTGTATCATTTGAACTGGAAAAAAAATGACGGCTTGCCTTTTTTTAATGATGGAAATATAGAGACTACTTATCAAATTCATATATTAAATAATGTATTAAATTTTAATTAGAGTTCATGTTAAAAAAAATAAAATCATATATAATCTTCAAAGAGAAAAATAATAAATATTATTTTCCTTTTGAAAAAATGGAACCAAATAGTTAATAAAAGTGGTAAAGGGCAGTTTTGGGAGTTTAGAAAATTTCTTCTCATTTGGCCGGTGAAAAAATGCTTGAAGGATGAAATTGAAGTTCAATAGAACCTCAGGGATGATTTTGAAGTTGACAGCAAATCTCAGGGACTAATTTGAATTTTACCCAACCTGCTTAGATTGAAGAAATTCAACTATTATTGATTACAAGAGTTGGGGTGGCGTACTACTGAGTTCAAGACACCAAACTCAACACACTGATACAGAGATAGAGAGAGAGAGACAGAGAGAGAGAGAGAGAGAGAGAGAGAGAGAGAGAGAGACCCAATGCAAATGCAAATGCAAATGCAAGAAACCATAACAAGAAGAAGAGTGATGTTTTGGATTTGAGTTATTGACAATGCCGATGCCGAGGCAATTCTTGAACGCCACCCCATTTCTCTTCCGTCGCTATTTCCGTTGCTATTTCTTATTCCTCCATTTTCTCTCACTTACTTCCACCACTACCTCTGCAAACAACGAAGCTCTTGTTTTATTTTCATGGCTCCACTCTTCTTCTTCTTCTTCACCGCCACCTTCTTCCTTATCCAATAATTGGAACCCACAACACACAAACCCCTGTAATTGGTCCCACATCACCTGCTCTTCCGATGGTTTCGTCACTGATATCAATATCCAGTTCATTCAGCTCGCTCTTCCCTTCCCCTCCAATCTCTCCTCCCTCAAATTCCTCCAAACCCTCACCATCTCCGCCGCTAATCTCACCGGAATCATCCCACCCGACATCGGCGACTGTGTCTCCCTCACAAAACTCGACGTCAGTTCCAACTCCCTCGTCGGCACTATTCCGGCGACCATCGGGAACCTCAAAAACCTCGAGGAGCTCATTCTTAACTCCAACCAGCTCACCGGAAAAATCCCACCGGAGATCGGCGGCTGCGTCCGCCTCATAAACCTAGCGTTATTCGACAACAAGCTGACCGGGACCATCCCCGCCGAAATCGGAGCACTGTCGTCTCTCGAAACCCTCCGCGCCGGAGGCAACCAAGACCTCGCCGGAAAAATCCCCGACGAAATCGGCGGCTGCACGAACCTGCAAGTGTTGGGCCTCGCCGACACAAAAATCTCCGGCGGGCTACCCTCTTCACTGGGGAAGCTGAAAAACCTCCAGGTTCTGTCTCTCTACACGACGATGCTCTCCGGCGAAATCCCGCCGGAGATAGGAAACTGCTCGGAGCTCGTCGACCTGTACCTGTACGAGAACAGCCTCTCCGGCTCCCTCCCACGTGAGCTCGGAAACCTCCAGAAGCTCGAGAAGCTTCTCCTATGGCAGAACAATCTCGTGGGCCCCATCCCCGAAGAAATCGGAACCTGCAAAAGTCTGGTAATCCTCGATCTTTCATTAAACTTCTTGTCTGGAACCATACCTGGATCTTTAGGCAACCTCAAAAACCTCGAAGAACTCATGCTCAGCAGCAACAACATCTCCGGTTCAATCCCTGCGGTTCTCTCCAATGCCACCAGTTTGGTACAGTTCCAAATCGACAGCAATCAGATTTCCGGTTCAATCCCACAAGAACTCGGGTTCTTGGACCACCTCCAAGTATTCTTCGCCTGGGACAACAAGCTCCAAGGGAATATTCCGGCAGCATTATCCGGCTGCAAAAGTCTCCAAGCTTTGGATTTGTCTCGAAATTCTCTCACCGGTAGTTTGCCTTCCACCATTTTCCAGCTGAGGAATCTGACCAAACTCCTCTTGATTTTTAACGATGTTTCGGGTTCGATTCCGCCGGAGATCGGCAACTGTACGTCGCTGATTCGATTGAGGCTCGTCGGTAATAAAATCAGTGGACAAATACCTCAAGAAATCGGGTTTCTTACGAAACTCAGTTTTCTTGATCTTTCGAATAACCATCTAAGCGGAGTAGTTCCGAATGAAATCGGAAACTGTCGAGAACTGCAGATGCTTAATCTAGCTGGGAATTCACTCGTTGGAAATCTGCCGATTTCTCTATCGTCTCTCGCTAAATTAGAGGTGTTTGATCTTTCCATGAATCAGATTAACGGTCAAATTCCAGTCGATTTCGGTCAACTCTTTTCGCTCAACAGGCTTTTACTAAGTAGCAATTCTTTGTCGGGGCAAATACCTTCGGCGCTCGGGCGTTGCTCGAGGCTTCAACTGCTCGATCTAAGCCGGAACCAATTATCCGGAAGCATTCCCGTTGAGATCTTCGAAATCGAGGCTCTCGAAATTGCTCTGAATCTGAGCTGGAATTTGCTGACGGGGCGAATCCCACCTCAGATCGTTGCCCTAAACAAGCTCTCGGTTTTGGACCTCTCGCACAACAACCTCGGAGGAGATTTGATGTCCCTTTCGAGCCTCGTGAATTTAGTCTCGTTGAATATTTCCTACAACAACTTCACGGGTTATCTCCCGGACAATAAGCTCTTCCGCCAGCTGTCGCCCACGGAACTTTCCGGGAATGTGGGGTTGTGCTCTAGCGGTCCCGACTCGTGTTTCTTGAAAAGTTCGCAAGGTATTGGATTGCCTCGCGAGAGGCGATCCTGGAGGCTAAAATTGGCAATTGCGTCGCTAATTTTGGTGACGGTAGCGCTGGCGGTTCTCGGCGTTTTAGCGGTTTTAAGGGTCCGTAAAATGAACAAAGAAGATAAAGATTCCGAATCGGGAGAGTTGGGCGGCGAATCTTCGTCTTGGAAATTCACTCCCTTCCAAAAATTGAGCTTCTCTATCGACCAAATTACGAGGTGCCTCGTCGAAGCCAACGCAATAGGCAAAGGGTGCTCGGGTATCGTCTACCGGGCCCACCTCGAAAACGGTGACATCATCGCGGTTAAGAAGCTATGGCCCACAACGGTCCTAAACGATCCGTCAAGTGGGGTCCGCGACTCGTTCTCCACCGAAGTCAGGACACTCGGATCGATCCGGCACAAGAATATCGTGAAATTCCTAGGTTGTTGTTGGAACAAGAGCACTCGATTGCTCATGTACGATTACATGCCCAACGGGAGCTTAGGGAGTGTCCTTCACGAGAAGAACGGGGTCTCGTTGGAGTGGGATGTTCGGTACCGGATTATATTAGGGGCGGCTCAAGGGTTGGCCTATTTGCACCATGATTGTGTGCCACCCATTGTTCATAGGGATATTAAGGCTAATAACATCTTAATCGGGCTCGATTTCGAGCCTTATATCGCCGATTTCGGGATCGCTAAGCTTGTCGATAATGGAGATTTCGCTCGCTCGTCGAATACCGTCGCCGGTTCCTATGGCTACATTGCTCCCGGTTCGCTCGAATCTCTTACACATAAATATAATTATTGCATTTAGCACCCTTCCGTTTACTCTAATTGTTAACGACTCTCCGTGTTATAAATATTAGCAAAATAGCCCCTACGATTTAATTTAATTAGCAAACTACCCCCCGAAAAATGCACAATCGAGGGGGTTGTGTGCTAAAAAAACTACATCAGAAGGGTTTTTTTGCTAATATTTATAACACAAGGAGTTTTTTAGCAATTCGGTACAACACACGAAAAGAGCTCATATTTTTCTATATATATTATTTATTTATTTTCTTGATATGCAGAGTATGGATTTAGGATGAAAATAACGGAGAAGAGCGATGTGTACAGCTACGGAGTGGTCGTGCTCGAAGTCTTGACGGGCAAACAGCCAATCGACCCGACGATACCGGATGGGGCCCACATTGTGGATTGGGTGAGGCAGAAACGGGGCGGGTCGGAAGTTTTGGATCGCGGGCTGGGCCATAGACCCGACCCGGAAATTCAAGAAATGATGCAAACTTTAGGAGTTGCTATGCTCTGCGTGAACCCTTCACCCGAAGATAGGCCGACGATGAAGGATGTGGCTGCGATGCTAAAGGAGATAAGGCTCGAAAGAGAGGAGAATTCGAAAGGTGATGTCATCGTGAAAGGCTCGCAATTAGTCGATGATGGTATGAATGCAGAGGGAAATAATAAGAGTTCGAACGGAGGGGCTTCGTCGCAAATGAAGAGTTTGTATTTGGAGAGCAATAATTCGAGCTTTTCTGCGTCTTCGTTGCTGCACTCAAGTTCCTCTATTGCTAAATTTGGTATCAATAAGCAATAGAATTTTTTTTTTCTTTTTTTTTTTTTAAACACAATAAGCAATAGAATTAGTGCAGTCTATTTGAAGTTATTGACATGGTAGAAATATAATCACTTTAGGCTTCATTGCATCTCTTTACATTGCAAGTCTTAAAATTCTGCCATATCTTTTCACCAATTACAATAAAAGATTCGATCAATCGAATAATTTAGTGATATATTTTCTTAAATGCACTTTTTGTCCTTGAAATTGAGATTAAGGGTGGCGAAAAATATCATTTTTAATTGGTATTTTGAACTTTTGAAAAAAAAATATTGCTAAGACGAAATCGCCCTTGTTAACTTTAAAAAAATAATCTGACCCTCCACTAATTAGTCTATTAAAATTAGCTCTGTATCAATTGAATCTCATCATCCATATATAACGAATTGGGGTGGTATATTCATATCATAATATATGAACAATAAGAACTAGCATTCTTATTGAGATTAGAAATTTAGAACTCATAGGGAAGAAAATCGATTTATGGATGGAATTAAATATGTAGTATTTACAGACAAAAGTATTCAGTTATTGGATAAAAATCACTATACTTCTAATGTCGAATCAGGATTACTAATGCATTTTTAAAAAAAAAGCAAAGTGCCTAAAATATTACATTTAAAGTGTGGCGAAGGAAATAAAGCCAAAAGAATGTAGTTATACTATATAAAATTAAGCTAAAAGATTGCTATATAAAATCAAAGTCTTAACAAACAAGACTTGATACATGACAAATAGAAATGAACGAAAAAAAAAATATATCCCAAGACCATGGAAACAAACATCTATAATTGGTCCTATCAAATTTGACCATCCTCCCTTCTTTCTTTTTATTCCCTAAATTTAAAAAAAAATAAAAAATAAATTAATAATTAAATAAATAAATAACTAGTAATAATAAAAGTGTAAATGATTTAAATCTTAGAGTTGATGTTGCGGTCAATTTTAGCAGCTCCATCCTTGACGGTGTCTTTAGCGGCGTCGGCGGTAGCCTCCGCCTTGCCGGCCACCGTGTCTTTAATCTTCTGGGTGGTTTCCTTAACGGAGTCCCACGCACCCTCCGCCGTTTCCTTCACTTTTCCGGCGGCATCCTGCGCCACTTGCTTCGCCTTCCCCGCCGCATCTTGAGCCGTCTCCGACACCTTTCCGGCGATGTCTCCCACTTTATTACCCGCCTATTTCGCCCCATCCATTCATAATTCAAAATTGCGTATTAAACATTCGTTCAAAGTAAAATAGAAGAAAAAAAAATATCGGAAATTCGTTTCTATGTATATATATTTTTTGACTTTTATTATCGTTTCGAATATATAATGCATGCATGCACGTACGTTATCTGCGGCGGCGGCGGCCTCTTGTTTGATTTGTTGGCCACCTTTCACGGCCGCGTCGACACCCTTCTTAGCAGCGTCGCGGCCTTTCTTAGCTGCCTCAGCAGCCTCATCGTATGCCATTGCACCATAACTACGTCTATTCCCCTGCATTAATTAAATCAATTATTAATTTATAATTTTCAATGAAATAAATCCAATCATAGAACATATAGTTAACATAAGATTCACTTAATTGGATTTTTTTCAATGTTTATTTGGTTAAAATTCTAACAGGGTTTAATAAATTTTAAATATATTCTGAAGTTGACTAAAAAAAAGGGTAAATTATGAAAACCCCTCTGAACTTAGGCTAAATTACAAAAAAAAAAAACCACCTATTCGTAATTACCAAAATACCCCTGATCTTTGTTTCCGTTTTACACCAATGCCCTTACGATATGATTTTTACGTAATCTTTCTGATTCTAGGAAATATTCCCCGAAAAATGCTGATACAACACTGTAGATATCGACTGATTGAAGGTAGACATGCACATAATTTGCCTATATATGCTATATATGATGCTTCATATTAGCGATCGAAAAAGTCTATTGACATTGCAATATGATCTCGAAGAAAAAAGAGTTTATTGTATATACATACCAAAGCTATCTGCATTTAAGAGGCTTCTTCTCTTAGGGGTAGAATCAACATTTTTTAGGGAATATTTTCTAAAAATAAACGGATCACATGAAAAATGACACAATAATGGGGTCAGTGTAAGACGAAAACAAATGTCGGAGGGGAATTTTGGTAATTACGGATACGTGGAGGTATTTTTCATAATTTAGTCTAACTTCAGAGGATTTTTTATAATTTACCCAAAAAAATATTCTACTTGGCAACTTCATTAGACAAACATCATAATCGATCATGTGTGATACAACATTCATTAGACAAACATCATAATCGATCATGTGATACAACATTTTGAGATCACGTAAAATTCATCTACTTTAACCATAGACATCAATGAATTATCGATTTTAAATATGCATTTAATCTTAAACCGGCACGCATCTGCACATAAAGAACATATACTCGAATGGTTAAGATTAGTGATAATATCTAATGTTTCTCTTTGCACTTCTGCATCAAAAAAAGGTGAAACATCAAAATACTAATCCATTTCGATAACTCAATCGAAAAAGAAATTTTGAAATTTAGAGTATTAAAATAGTATAAAATAAAATAAATAAAAATTACCGAAGAAAGTGAGGGTGAAGCACGAGTCGAAACCATGGAGTTCGTCCAAGGTTTACGAAGGAAGATTGAAAATGTGTTGGTAGCTTGGAGTCTTGTGAGGGAACTGGTAAATGCCATGCTTGCCATTTTTTAAAAAAAAATATTTATTTAATTATCTCTTCAATATATATTATAAGTTTGTGTGTGCATGTATTATTATTTGGTCTTTGTAATTTTTGCATCTATTTTTATTTATAGTGGAAAACATGTTAGAAAATAGAACATGAATTTTGCTAATTACGCGGCGGAGGAGCAGAGCGATTTCTTCTCCTTTGCAATGGTTGATTTTATTTTATAAATAAATATTAATTAGTATGAAATTATAATTTATTTGGACATTAATACAAGCTGCTTAAGTTTAGCCTGCAATTGAATTAATTAAGATGTGTTAGCCAACAGCACCATCCACGTACGTACATCTCGGCAGTGGTGGAGCCAACATACGACCGGGGTCATTGCTCCCCACAAATTTTAGAAAATCGATTTTTTTTAATTATTTTATATATATATATATATATATATATATATATATATATATATATATATATATATATATATATATATATATATATATATATATATATATATATATATATACCAATGAAATAGAACTAGAACCATTCATGGCATCTGTTAAATATTCTTTAAACAGTTTGAACAAAATGCATGGTATTCATTCAAAATTAGGACATTTTGGATTCAATGTAATCATGTAAATTTTAATTCAGAATGAACAATGACTAACACTATCGTAAAACTTGTTCTAAATTTGTACACCGCACCCAACGAAAACACTCGTCAGAATTTTAAAACTAATCTGGTATATCTGTGGTCATATTATATGCATTGATGATGATTTTTATGTACATAAGATCTATGGTGATATCAAATGATATATTTCTTACAAGATGGCCATGAAACTCTACTTGCAGATATGTATGAAGTTTCCCGACAAGCGAATCCCGAACTATTTCCACAACTTGACGGAGTTATCGTGGCTAGCAGAGGCAATCATTCCTGTCACAGGGCACTGTGCCAAAGCTGCAATTATGTTCTCGTGTGCAGGGACTGTCATGGTTTTGTTCTCCGCCACTGCCCACAACTTCAAAGACTGCATGCATCATCATCAAGCATATTCATTAGGAATTAATCTCACAAATGTGAAATGTGTGATTGTGAGAGAACATGCCATCACAAGCCTGAGGTATATCAGAGGAAAGAAGATACACTGTATTCGAAACAAAAAATAAAAATTGAAATAAAGGGGAAATTCTAAAACCAAGTTATAGTTCACCATATAGCTTAAACCCTTTTTTTCATTGTCCCAAACTAATAGCTAAACAAGGAAAAAAGATACATGCCATTCATAGTTTCAGTTATTCACTTCATAACCAACCAACACTAATATATGAAAACCCCAGGAAGTGATGGCATGTCCGTAATAATATAACACCTACATGGCAAACGGCCTACTAATTTAACGTGTCTGTGTGAGTGTGTGTGTGTGTGTGTGTGTGTGTGTGTGTGTGTGTGTGTGTGAGAGAGAGACAGAGAGAGAGAGAGAGATGATTACCCCCAATCCTCCTACGATCAAGAGAGAAGGATAACTCGGATGAAAAACACAAGAGTAGAATTTGTTCCCAACGGAGTTGAGTTGACGGATGCACTCTCCAGATCTTAACGACCAAACTTTAACGCAGTCCTCACTCACAGAAGCCAAGTGGTCTCCATTAACATCCCAGCAAATGTTACTGACCACACCAGAATGCCCCTACACAGATCACCAAAACTTTTAACATAACAAAGAACGGCGACAATAAATATAATGGAAATACAGCGAATTATAAGTTTACTCACTGCACTAAACATCGCATTAACTACTTAAACTCCTCACCGAGATGTAAATATAATGAACAAACCTGAAAAGAGTGTGTTGGCTTGTCGGTTTTAACATCAAATATGGAAACCAACTTGTCTGATGCAGCTGCCAACAGTTGTCCAGTTATAGGTTGAAACCTCACTTGACCACTGCCTTCTTGCTGTGCATGAAACACGGGTAGATTAACTTCAAAATTACACCTCTAAAAACACAGATGATGTTGGATAAGAAGATAAACGACACAAAAAGGAAAAAAGAAATAACAGAGTTAGACGCCCCCAACCTTGGAAATCCGGGCGCGTGAAAATGGGTTCATAATCCAATATTGTATTTCGTGTTTACCATCAGAGAAACAGAAAAGATCATTCTGCTTAGGATGGAAGTCAAGGGACATGACATGGGAAGTATGACCTGTGTAAGCATGCAGACAACAGCTTGGCTGCACAATAATTAAATAGAGTAAGTACTCGTAATTTCAGTAAATGAATGCAGATTTATCAGCATACAAACTCCTACGTTTGATCTTTTATTTTGAATTGGTGAAGTGTGTTGGGAGATTAGAATGGGAGTTGAAACTTAAAAGCAATGTGTTGTTTGTGCTTTTTACGAAGGCATAAAAAATATAAGATTAAAGGAATGATATCATTACATCACATATTCTCACGGATTTGTCTAATGAAGTTGTCGCAAACTTAGTAGAATTTGGCCGGAAGCGAACATCCGTAATTGAGTCTTGATGTTGTTCATATGTGGTGGTATGTGTTAGCAAAGTATCCATATTCCAAAAAACAGCCTAATTCGAGAGCCAAGAGGTATAAGTGAAATCAGAAGGAAAATGTAGCCAATAACCAAAAACATGAAACTTTGGGTATAAGATTGAAACTTATACCTTTTTGTCAAGCCCGGCACAAGCCAACCACTTCCCATTTGGTGAAAAGTGGCAACAAGTCACTTTGTTTTTTGCTCGTATGCAACCAACTTCTCTAAATGAAAAACCTGCAAATAAGACAAGTCATGTGAAATTGTTGCACTAAGCAGGAGAAACATAATATAAGACCACCTTTAGAAGTCTCCGTTTTGTGCTCAGCATGAGTCTGTTTTAAAAAGCCATACATATTTCCATCATTAGATAAGTTAAGGAATCAACTGATAGATTACTCAAATTGTGCAGCCAACAAGTTGCACAAGAATGAACTGACCTGTTGCATTTGTTGTGGATGCTGCAACTGATACTGTTGTTGAGAGGAAGACTGTTGCATTAGGATGACAAACTTTTAATTTGGAAGCATATTGAAAAGATTAAACGTGAAGAATTTTAATATGAAGAATTTATCAGATCCCCAAATGCACAGGAATATAAAATTTATAGCGTTAAATGGACAGATGTTGCTTACAAAATCTGATTGCATCGGAGATCCATAATTTCTGAAAGATGAATTTCCAAAGTTCCCTTGTATCTGAGCTTGTGCTAGAGCCTGCTGGTTGGGCTTATGTAAACCCGAACTCGTCCCTAATTGGTTGATCCCCTGTACGATCTTGAAAGCATCAGCACTCGAGATTACTCCTCAACAAACAAAAAATTGAAAGCTAAAGAAGAAAAAACTTACTGTCGGGGGCCAACCCTTCAGTGAAAGTCCACTGACTTGATTCAACCCTGAAACAAGAATCAAATTTATAATAATTCCCATTACAATGAGTCAAATAGCCAAAAATATCAGAGCCAACCTAAGATTCAGATGGAGAAACAAAGAAACTGCAGATAACTTTCGGGAACATACTTGGATACCTAAAGAGGCTTTTTGAAAATTACAAAAGTTCTTAAAATCTGTGTAATTGAACTTACACGATAAATATTTGGCTACTCTAGAAAATAGTAAAATTAACAATATAGCAATCTCTCTCTCTCTCTCTCTCTCTCTCTCTCTCTCTCTCTCTCTCTCTCTCTCTCTCTCTCTCTCTCTCTCTCTCTCTCTCTCTCACTCCCTCTGAGAAAAGTTAAAAGAAAGGACACGAAGAGCTTATGGAACACCAATTTTATTACCTGCACCACCAAGTCCGTATTTCGACTGAAGAATTGCCTGTCCATAAATTGATGATGCAGCCAGTTGCGGCCTTACTTGCATTTGCTGCATGGCTCCAGACATGCCTCCAGTATTTCCTTGTATCAACTGCCTGAATCATCCCCACCAGAAATAATATGAAAAAAAAAATGTAAAGATCTACAATAGTCGAATGAGACAAAAATCAATGTTAACTTGATGCTGACTTGAGAGGTGCCATCTGTTGTGTCCCTGAATCAATGTTGTTTTCATCCATTCTTTCAGAGTCCATGGGACCACCTGGATGCTGCTGCTGCATCTGTTGCAACTGCTGCATCTGAAGCTGCTGCTGCTGTTGTTGCTCCCTCATCTTATATAGTTGAGTCTAAATATAGATGGAAATGACAAATGAAATGATGTTTTCCATATATACAATTACGGCATGAGACAATAAAAAATATGAAATAAGAGAACCAAAACCAACTGCATATCTTTGAAATACCTTTATATAAGCTGCAGCTGGTTCAGAATAATTCTCATTTGCCCTTGTAAGGTAGATTTCCCAAAAAACAGTCCACCATTCAAGAAGGAATCCTTCAGGAGAATCAATAGCTAAAAACACCAATTAATTGTAAAAAATTCAGATATCATCCATGGAATGCATTTTCTGAAACTAAAAGCAGAATTTACCTCGGTTTTTCTGACCATGTTCGAGAGCATAAAAAATAGAACTTCATAACCAATATTAGATTAAATCCCACCCATCGGATCAGTAGCTGAGATCAAATTTTATAGCAAAATGAATGAAAATTTTACCTTCATAACCTGGATCAATTTTCGCTTCAGTCATGAAAACTTTTGCTGAATTATACAATTTTCTTTTCAAGAAATAGTTATGAATGTATTCATTAAGCCTGGAAGAAAAAGAAAAAGAAAAAAACAGAAGTCTTAATCAGCAGTGATCCCTCTGCTATTTAAATAAAATACACACACAGTCCAACTGATTTCTTTTGTCAGCCTGCCAGAACAATGTGAAGCAAATACTCATAGAGAAGAAAATCTTCCGACTGAAACACCTACCAACGCAAGTATTTTTAGACAGTGTTCCGACCTATTAGAATTTATTATTGATTTCCTATTCTCATGAACTCATCTACATAACTAGAGTACTTCCCAATTTTTCGCCAAAAGAAGAAATTCATACACACACACACACAGTACACCAAATAGAAAGGATTATGTTGGTTCCCATTCTTTACTACGCCGAGTGTAAATTTAAAGAGACAATAATACAAACTAAATAGTCAAGAATCATTACAGCTTATCCAATTCCAAATGACTCTGCGCCATGATTGTTTCTCCAACAAAATTTCTTCTCCAGTCAGACACTTGTCTCGCACTGAAACCAAGAAGAAGAATTACATATATGCATTTTAATCAAAACTGAAGCACAAAAACGAGAAATCTTACAGTTACCCACCAACAATGGCAGAGATCACACTCCACGTCAACAATCCCCACGCGAAAACCCTAGGTCGAACAAATTTCGCAACACAAACAATAAAATAAAGTTAAATTCACATAATTCCGACGAAGCCAAAGCAAAATATCGTTCGGAAAAATAAAAAAATAAAAAAATAAAAATATATTTATTATACACACACTCGCTTTTTCTTCACAATTCACTTGTTAATGGCGCAAGTTCGTGTGTCAAAAAGCACCAGAAAATGAAAAAAAACTCATCGAATTCGTCACAACAATCGTGACTCTGAATGTAATCCGACGATTCAGTACATTTACAACGATGCGGCGGCGCTTCTCAATTTGATTTTTTTTTTATTTTTCCAATTAAACAAAAATCTAAAATCTTACCCGAAGAAAGAACAAATTGAAGCAGCGAATTGTAGTGAAGATGGAAGCACAACTTGGTAGAGAGAGAAGAAAAATAGCTGATCGTGCAGGTATCTGGAGCCTTGGGTGTGGGAACTGTGAACGATAATCAAATTGGAGATGTATATATAGACTCATAGGCTCGGAGTAAGGCTGGGAATTGTATCGCTTGGGGACTGGAGGTTCGGGATGAGGTTTGGTGCATGGGTTGGGAATGTCAAGCTGCTTTATTGTTAGTGAAGTGGGAAACGGGGTAACGGCTTCATAACAGAGTGCTCCCAAACTGGCCGTTGTGTAGTTTAAGCAGTTTGACTTGTATTATATTTTTCGAATTTTATTATATACCGAATTGAAACCAAAATCGGACTAACAGAAATCGAAACCGAAACCGAAATCGAACCGAAATTACTTTAAGAAAAAAAATCATATAATATTAAATTGTTTGCAATTATTCTTCTTAGCTGACCATCTATCACCTATATACTGATTAAGTGAACGATTTCATTTTTCTCTGTAAGTGTGGGGAAATTAGATACTACACATGATTATTTACATTGGGTGAATTTGAACTGTATATTTACCTACACATAACCGCACACAAACTCATGTGTATATGTACTAATGAGTAATTATTTTATTAAATCTACGATTCAAATCCAGCCGAAGTAAATAATTAGGTGTAACATCTAATTCTCCAAGTGTGTACTGTTGTGGAACGTGCACCCAAAAAACCAAGGAAGAAGCATTGAGGAGCAATCATATGGAGAAAAAGGAAGCTTGAAATCGGCAATCGAAAGAACATGGCTCTACGATTCTTGAATTAATCTTGTCATATAATGTTTCAAATGTTGTTTTCGATTTTTCCATATAGTGATATTTTTTCGTGTCCACGGAAAATCCTCTATAGATATGGAAGGTGCTTTGTTGTTTATTTTCAGTATAAAAAGTTCGTTTATAACAAATCCGATTGATTATATCGGACATGTAAGGAAATAATTAAATCATGTTTTTTTTTCTGTAGGGGCGGCGGCCCCTCTTGGAGTTTATATATGTTAGTCAGTTTTAAATTAATTTGTCTTTTTAATCGTATAACAATCATTGACAGTATTCGAACTAAATAAAATTAAAGACATCTCTTAAGGTAGATGAACTAGGGGTTAAAAAATCTGAACACGGAATATATTCGAACTTTTATAGTCGATTCGACTCATTTACACCTCTAATTTGATATACTTTTTTCCGTACACCATTATTGAAAATAAAATATCATAAAATTATCGAGCATTCAGATTCACATTCGACTAATTACCATAATGACCAATCTATTTCGTTAACAAGTTTTCATGACATACATATAAATAAATTTATATATATGTACATCAATAAGATATTACATTATTTCGACAAAAATAAAAGTAATAAAAATATAATTTAATGATCTCCGCCGTAGCAACAACACTGATCAGACGGCGGAGCACAGTCATCGGAGCAGATGCCGATGTCATACCCGATATCAGTGCAATCCTTATCGCAGTTCGGGTGCTGAGAACACATCCCTATTGGGATTGTATTTATTGGTTTTTTCTCTGCAATTAAAACTCAATTTTATTTCTCTAACTAATTATGTTTTTTCTTTAGTATTAAATATAATAAATTATAATAAATAATATTGATATAAATAAAATTACCTGAATTTTTTTTCACCGGTGGTTGAGTTGAAGAACAGCGCCATGTGAACAACTAGAATCATAAAAATCAGAGATTGTAAATTAGAAGCCATTATTTGTTTTGATTTGTTGTGAAACTAATTAACCCCTTCCCCTCTATATTAATACTCGATTAGCGTTCACTTATTCTAGATTAATCTTCTTATTTAATTCGTGTTATTAAGATGCCTTTTATGACGTCATAAATTGTAATCTTTTGAAAAGATAATTGACCGAATCCAGAATTTTGGAGTATTTGATATTTTGCCAGTTAAAATTAATAAATTATACACATATCACTCCGTGTTATGGTGGTGCTTTGCTCCAGGGCAATTTGGAGATTCTACACCAGATGAAATACATTATGTAGTCTTAAATCGTTGATTTATATAAATAATTATGTACACATATATATGGGTGTGTGTATGTTATTATGTATAGATCTACAGTACATAGTGTATTTCATCATGTGTAGGTTGTACGAAGCCGTTGCTCTAGTCACGTTTGACCAATCTGAAGACTTTGGATGTAATTAGTACATATTACTGAATATTATGTGTAATTACAAATCAATACATTTATTAGAAGGATTTTGTATTTAACTCAATTCATTTTTTTTCATATTCTAGCTACTTAAGTTTATATTATGCTATATCTAAGTGAAATGCATATATTAACGAGTGTATATATATATATATATATATATATATATATATATATATATATATATATATATATATATATATATATATATATATATATATGTGTGTGTGTGTATATATAAAAACTCTCACAATTGATGAGACTTGGTGTACTCTAATGTAGAGGAAGCTAATATACGAGATATAATTGATTTATCTATACAAGCACATTG